TTAGAACAAGGGAGCCTGGAATAACTCGCTCTGGGTCCTGGGGCCGAGGACATTCCAGCCCCTGAGGCCCTACCCGCCAGCTCCCTTCCCCTCCTAACACGCAGCGCTGCTCGTGACCTCATAGTTCGTCGCCATGGCAGTAGATGTGATGTCACTGGGTCCTTTTGCCCTGAAAAGCCGCCCAGATTCCAGGCCTCCCAGGGGGCAAGAGTGGGGAGGGCTGGAGGGGTGGAGCGGGGAGGGTGTGAGGAATTTCTGGATGGAATGTTCCTCTGGAGGCTGAGTCCGCATTCTGCAGCAGCCCTTCCCCCCAGGCCCAGGCTTGGGCACCTCCCCCCACCCGCTATGGCCCTCTGTCTTTTCCTTCCTCCGAAACAGCAGCCCACAGATACATTTTTTTCCCAGCCCACCCTTCCTGCAGGCCGCCGACATGGCCTACTGTGTGAAGGTCCGGGCAGTCTCCCAGCCACCCCGGCCCTGCAGAATGGCCCCTGCTCGGGCCCACACAGTTGGCGGTGGGTACATGCAGGCTCGGAGAAGGCATGCATGTATTTTGCAGAAAAAATTTGACGAAAGGATGTGCAGCTTTCCTTATCCACCCCGTGGCTCACAACCCCTCACGTTCAGGAAGTTCGCTCTGATGTCTGATCTCAGCCTCTCCTGCTGCAGCTTGTTTCCTCCTCTTCCTATGGAAGTGTACTGGAGACATCTCTTCCTCTGGAGGACCTGGGACAATGAGTCTTTAAGTCTCAGAAAGCTTGTTCCCAACAGGAGGGCAGTTGATTTAAGGCTCAGAGGAGCTGAATGGGAATCCTCTCCAAGGAGAGGAGACAGAGCTTGAAGGGGTGGATGTAAGGAGCAGGGTTCAAGTACCAGCCCTCTTACCTACTAGCTGTGCGACGCTCAGTCTTCTCAACTGTAAAGTGGGTCAGTGCTTACCTTGTGCACATTGGTTATGAGTTTGGTTATGAGGGTTGGTGGCCATGGAAGCAAAGAACCTGATACTGCGCCCAGGCTTGCATTAACACGTGATGAGTGATTGCTGTTATCTTGTTAACATTGTGAGAGGCAACTCCAGACCAGGGCCAGGAGGAGGTAGGCCAGTGAGGCACTTCGGGTGCAAAATTAGCGGAGGCGTTGCTCTCAGAATTGTGTGCGTGCACTTGGAGCAACCCGAGAATGAACGTCTCCTTAAATTTTCTGCCCTTCAGCCTCTCCCCAGTCGCTGCCTTGCTCCAGACCTTTGGGTATGAGTTCCTAGAATAGAAGGACCCTCGAAGAGCAAAACTTGGTTGTCAAGTGGCGCCAGGTCCCAATGCGGCCTCCTGCTCCTGAGCTGGATTTGAGTTGTGCTGCCTGGTGGGGGAAGGGGTACCCTGAAAGACCCTGGGTGTGGCTGTGGTCAGCTGCCCTCCGCTTTGGAAAGCCTGGGTCCTTAAGATCCAGGTTTTATCCTGGGACTGGGCAATGGAAGGGGACAGAAGGGGGCATTCCCTGCAGCTGAGCCTCAGGAGGAAGGAAGGGAAGAGCCTGCAGGGAAGGGCCTGGCTGACCTGCCTGCAGGCTGGCTGGGGGCGGGGCCAAGGGGCTGCAAGGTGAGCTCAGCAGTGGGCTTTACAAGACTGGTACCAACCCAGTCCTGCCATTTACTTCACCCTGAGAGGCTGGGTGAGTCAGACCCCTCTGCACCCATGTATCAGGGAGGGAGGAGATGCTATCTGAAGTCCCTCTCAGGGCTGCTCTGAGGAGTGCTGTGCAAGGATGGAGGGTGTGTGTGTATACCTTTGTGTGCACGTGTGTTGTGGGGGTGGGCGGGTGTGTCTGTGTGCTGAAGGGGCTCTGCCAGCCTTTGGAACTCCGGGGCCGCCACCTCAGGAGCCACAGCTTGGCGTGACCGGAGAACCTCCCTATAGCATGCCCCAGCCTCCCTGCAGGGCCTAGAGCAGGCTTGGCCTCAGGGGAGGCCCACCCTCCTGTTACCAGTCCCTTGCTTTTCTCATTCCCAGCCGACGCAGAGCTGGCAGTTCCTGGGAAACAGAGAAGCAGGACTCCAGTCCCGGGAGGACTGGGGCGGAGGGGCGGGGTGGGGAGCACAGCGTGCCTGCTGGGCCGTGTTTGCAAACACTGCAGGAAAGCGCTGGGTGTTTAGGTCAGGAGGGGTTTTTGGAAATTTTTAGCTCTTCAGAAAGCATCTTGACCAGTAAGATGAAGGCATTTGATGGCTGGCAAGCGTCTTTCTGTGGCCCATCTCCAGCTGGCATGGGGAAAGGGGTGGGGGCCAAGAGGACGGTGCTCAGATGATTGTTGGCAGGGAGAGAAGTTTCTCTTGCACTGCTGAGGCCTGTGGTTTCTAATATTGACTCCAACTCCCTGGTCTGCTTCGCGCCAGACAGGGGAGGGGTGGGGCCGGAGGGTCAAGGTGGGGCAGGGTGGGCCCTGGGAGGGCCCGGGGAGCGTGTGGGGTGGAGAGGATAAACGAGTGCTAGCCTTTACCGAGCGCTTCCCAAGTGCCAGGCCCTGTTCTAAGTGCTTGATGTGCTTCCTCTCATTGGAGTCTTACCACACAGGGCTGGTCTGTCCTGCTGAGGCGCAGCAGGGACGGAGCGGCCTGCTCGAGTTCACACGGTTAGCAGTTGAGAGAGAGAGAGAGGGTGGGGGGAGAGAGAGAGAGAGAGAGGGGGAGAGAGAGAGAGAGAGAGAGGGGACGTGGCCCCGCAGTCTGCTGCCAATGCTGCCAGCTGAGACCAGCGCTTCTCCAGGCGTCGTCCCTGGACCTGGAACCCTGTTAGAAATGCACGTTCTCGGGTCCCTCCAGAGGTCTGCTGGATCAACCCTCTGCGGAGAGCCCAGCACCCGCGTGTCAACAGCCTCCAGGTGTTTCTGAGGCACCCTCAAGTTCAAGGCCCCCTGGCTCTGACACTCTGCTCTTTGGGGGAGTCCAGGCCTCCTAGGAGGCTTCACCCAGAGCAGGATGAGGGCTCTTCAGGTCCTGTGATTCCCTGGGGCAGGCGCTTCATCTCCAACTTCTCCATCTCAGCCCACTTCTGAGCCACCCTGCCTGGGCCGGCTGGGTCAGCAGACTGTGGGGAGTGAGGGCTTCGGAAGCGGGGGAGCTGGGTGCAGAGCTCAGTTCTGCTGTGCAGCCTCTGCATACAGAAGGGCCCTGGGGTCTGCCCGCTCCTCCTCCCCCAGGGCACCAGAGAGGGGTAGTCAGTCCCAGCCTGAGCTCTCCACGGGAGTATTACAGAGCCCTGGGCCAGAAGAGACAGGTCGGGGTCAGAGGGCTAGGATTGCTCACTGGGCTCGATTGCCCTCTGCTCAGTGAGTGGCCTGTGGCTCAGGAGTGGGGGCTCTGGGAGATGGGTGGATGAGGAGTAGGGCCGGACTGGGAGCGGGTGGAATGTGTCACCTGTACTCCCCCAGAGCCATCCTCAGACTCCAAGGGAGCAGACCTGGGGGCTGGAGGGGCTGACTGGTGTACCTCCCCACCTCCTACCCCATTCCTGGACCCTGTCCTTTCTTCCTGGCCCTGAGCAGCTCAGGAGTTTCACGCCCTGGAGGGAAGCTTCGGCCTCAGCCGCCCGTCTTCTAGGCAGCAGGGGCAGAGTCTGGGCCGTTGCCAGAGAGAGCGTGGCAGCCTGCGTGCAGCTCAGCTGGCTGTCTTCCTCCGTGCCCGTCCCAGCCCGCTTCTCGCTGGTGCCGGGACCTCTCCGTGACCATCCTGTCAGTCCCTCTGTCTTCACACACCAGCAGCTCAGCGTCAGCTCCCAGGCTGGGGCTGGGGCCGGTGCTTCCGACTCAGATGCGCTGTCTTAACCTGGCCCACGCTGGTCTCGGCAGAGGCTTGTTCCACGACCTTGACAGCTCTGTCCACGTCCTTCTGCACGGTTCAAGGGCCCCTTTGAACCACTTCACTGAGTCAGAAATGCAGCCCTAGAAGCTGTGGTCAGGAGGTGGCCTTGGATTGGGAAGCTTCTCTCCTGTTTTGGGGAGTCCCAGGAGCCCAGTTTTAAGGATGCCTGTAACAGAAAGCACCTCTTTGGTCTGGGAAGGGGAAGAGGGGCACCAGGGTGAGGGGCAGGACCAGCCCACAGGTGTGTATCCATGGCCTGCTTTCCATCAGTCCCTGGCATGAGGGGTATTGCAACTGAATTGGTAAAAATGCTGCTTTGACTCTGTTTTGGAAGCACGTGGGATAAGAATCACAAATAAAGCAAGTCGTATTCCTAGGATGCAATTATTCATATGCTAATGGCCAGATAAACACAGAGGGCAAGACTGAATGGAGTTGGGAGGTGGGAGAGAGAGTCCTCCTTGCTGGGGTGTCCCGGAAGGGCTTCTTGGAGGAGGGGAGCTTGTAGGAAAGGAGGGGGAGCCGTTCCACAAGGAAAGGCTTGGATGTGGGGATCAGTAAGGGGGTCCTCAGGGCCGGTCTGGATGGAGTAGAGCTTTGAGCATGAAAACTGAGGTCTGAGGGGGCAAGGCCAGTGGTGGGAGGCCTCGAAAGGCCGAGTTAGGGTTCTGGCAGGCCTCCCATCCGGGCTGCTGCCATCTCATACAAAGGTGGGGTTCAGATCCTGTTGTCCCCATGAGTAGCTGATGACTTGGGACCCCTCATTTAACTTGTACAGTTGGGCTCAAGAGTAATAACGGAACCTGCCTCACAGGGTTCCTGAGTGGGACGGCATTGATGGAAATGCCTGATGTGTTTGGACAATGACTGTTCCTTGCTCCTGGTTCCTTTCTGAGGGGTCAGCGCCTGCCCGAGTCAGAGGTCTGGGCGAGGTGTGTCAAACTGGTTGTGGACAGTACCAATAGGATGCTTTTTATTTTCCAAACTCGGCCTCCCACCGTGGGGATGGCCGGGTTACATCTGAGTCCTTGGGCTGGCGTCATGTCCTGCCTCAGGAGGCATCCTCGTGGCCACCAGCCTTGGAGAGAAAGCCCATCCGGGGCTGTTCGTCCTGAGGCCTCACACTGCGTTTCCCCTTTGCCCACAGCCGATCAACACCGAGAGCGCACCGAAGAATGTAGTGGACGCGGTGAGTGGCTGTGGGCGGGCGTGGTGGCGGGGAGCGGCCTGGGGAGGCTGGAGAACGGAAGGTGGGTTTGGGGAACGTGACCAGATAGATGTGTCTGGGGACGTCCTTCTGGAGTAGATATGGGGAGCTTGGGGGAAGTGGTGGGGATAAGAGTGACCGTTGGGAGCCTGTGTATTTGGAAGTGGATCTCTGGGGAGCCGGGCAAGCCGAGTGGGAGAGGCGGGGGTGGGAGCAGAGACAGGCCAGTGGTAGGATGTGGGTTTCTCGATTACATATGGAGAAATCGAGAAAGCCAGGCGGGTCTTTCCAAGTAGATCTTTCTGACTCAGCGGAGAGACAGTTTCCTCAAGGCTGCATGGAAGAGGAAGAGGAAAAAGTCAGTGGGTCCTGCAGTGGGGAAACTGAGGCTAGCCACTGAGAGGCACCTCCTGGCAGTGGCCGGTATTGAATGGATTGGAATGGAAGACCTTGGGTTTAACTCTTGACTCCTCCAAGCTTCTAAACGTGTGGCTGGAGACGAGTCATGAACCTGTCTGTACCTTAGTTTTCTCATCTGCAAAGTGAGAGTGTTTCCCACAGTCGTCACTGGACACAGAGAAGGGGGTTTGATGAGCTCTGAGAGAGACCTTTAGTGGACACAGAAAGGTTAAACGAACAGTCAAGTCCCCCACCCCCTCACCCCCCACCCTTGCCAAACCCGCAGGTGCTAGACCTGGTGCCTTTGGGGTGGTTTCCCTGACTCCCTTGCTGACTGCCTTGTCTCTGTCTGCAGGGAGAAGAAGCCTTCCGGGGTGGAAACACTCGGAAGAGTCTTGAGGAAGACGTAAGTATGGGGAGGGGACGGGGAAGGAAGTGGCCGGGCCCCTGGTGCTCAGAGGGCATGGGGGTGGGTGGCCGATGTCTCACACCTCTCTTATTGGGTAGGGTGTCTCTTTCTCCTCTCCTGAAGCGCAGGCAGGAGCTGTCCATCTTGGTTGCCGAGCTGGGGAGGAGGGGCTGGGATGGTGAGCAGGCCCCTTCTACTTATACACTGGGCCTCAGTCTTGGCCTTGGCCTCCTGGTCAGCTGGGTCCGGAGATCATTTGCCTATCACTTTGCCAGGGCGGGAGGGCGGAAGGGGAGGGCTCTGTGACCTGCTTGGGTGGGAAGTGAGTAGTCAGCAAGGTAAGGGCAAGGGGACTGCGCAGCGCTGTAGCAAGAGGGACTAAGGGCAGAGATGGAGGGGGACTTTTGAGCCCTCAGAGGGTCATTGGCGACCTTGGGACACTGAAGGCTCTGCTTCTTTGGAGAGAGGAGTCCTTGAACATGGCAGAATCCTTTGTGTGGCTTTAGTGCCATTGACTCAGGAGGAAGCCGGAAGGAGGGCCCGCTGGTCCACCCTGCTCCTCCTGCCACGCATTTTGGTGGAGGTCAATGAGCACCCTCCTTAAATGGAAGGACCCCAGCAGGAGCCAAGGGGGGTCCCCCAGGACCCTGCTTTGAGCAAGGCTAGTGTCGAGCTCATCGTCTCACCCCGGGAGCAGACGCCCGACAGAGCTGGGCCTTGCCCTTTCTTCCCTGCCCTCCTTGGACAGTTTGCCCCTCTGCTGGCCCCTCCATCCTTGCCCGCCCTGATCTGCAGAGGAACAGGGAGTGGTTTTGGCGGTTGGCACAGGGGGAGCTGTTGATGGCATGAGGCCCTATCATCTGACAGCTGCCTGACCCACGGTGGGGAGGGCCCCAGAGGGAGGCGCTGGGGCCGCAGGAGGCGGCTTCTGCAGGCAGCAGCACTTCTGCGGTGAGCCCACCACCACTGCCACATTGCCCCGGGGCTGCCCTGCAGGCGGAGGGGAGGCGTCCTCCAGGAGGAGCAGGAGCATGCCTCTCCGATTAGTGGGGAAGGCTCTGTTCAAGGTACGGTGGGCCCTGTGGGCATGAGTGCTCGCGGTGGGGAGGAGCCCTGTCTCAGCCTGCGATGCTTCTGGGGCTGGGGAGCAGGGAGATTTTAATTCTTTGTGTACCTACTACTGAGGATTAACTAGCTTAATGCACACAAAGCATAGGCTATGTGCTCAATAAACGGTAGCTATTCTTATGACTGTTGTTTTGACGGTGGGCCAGGCGCTGGTATTTTTGGATGCCCATGACATCCCCAAAGGCAGATGCTGTGACCCCACTTTGTAGATAAGCGCACAGAGATTTGGAGGGGCTCGGGGACTCAGTGCCTTGTCCACTTCTTCCCAGGACCACTGCTTAGATCTGGTGTTACCCGGGACTCCCAGCCCTCGGCCGTGTGTGGGATGGGGTGCTGGTGTGTGAGCCAAGACATGTAGCCAGTGGTCTAGAACCTCTGACAAGCCAGGTCCTAGAGCTGCTGCCCCCACAACCCCAGCCTGGGTCAGACAGACCCTGCAGTAAGAGAGAGAGAAGTTAGACCTCATGACGGAGTTTATGGCACAAGGGTGTGCATGGCTTTGGTCCTGGGGAAGATAGAGGTGGCTCTTACGTTGCAACTGGAGGAGGGTTTTTTTGGTGGGTGGGGGGGAGTTTTGTTGATCTGGGATGAATGCGTAAGGGCTGGATAGGGTGGTGTCTTGTCTGGATGTGGGAGGAGGGGCACGAGGAGTTTGGTGGTTCTTCTAGTCTAAGGAGCGCGTGGAAGGCTAGGCCGATTCCGGAGCAGCCTGTGTCGTGCACAAGAGGAAAGGAAACCCAAGGTTTAGGTCTGAGACCCCTGTTCCAGGTCGGATGGCTTCGGGGTGACTGAGGCTCTCCCCTGCCCAGCCAGCGGGCTGTCCTGCAGCCTCCCCCGGGGTGAGGGGACCCGTTTTCAAGGCAGCGTGGCTGGAGCGCTGGGCCTGCTGCTGGGATAAGATGCCTGTTTGTCGAGCTGTTTTCCTGTCTCTGGCCCATGGCCCAGGACCCGGGGCAGGAATGGCTGTTTCCCTCCACCGGTTGGTTTGTAGTGGAGTCTGTGGATGGTGCACTGTGTCGCACTTTGTTGTGGAAAAATCCAGGCTGGTGGGCAGGAAGGGGAGAGGAAGGGGTGTGGCTGGAGGGGCTGGTGGCGAGGGAGGGGTGGCCAGAGCCCCCAAGGAGACACAGGAATGGGGATAGGCTCCTGACGTAGGTTTGTCACCACTCTCTGGCTGCCTGACTCGGCCCCCCGGCATTGCTTACCGCCGACCCTCCTCCCAACGGTGTCCCCTGGGGACCGGGGCTCAGGAAACAGCTTTTCTTTTGGTCCAGAGCTGTTGTGTTTGGTCTGCGGACCTCAAAGGAAGGCGGGACTCTTCCCACACAGTGGCTGCTCTAAACCAGCCCCACCCAAGTCCCGGCATTCCTGCATCTTGCCGTGCGGCGGGGGAGAAGGTGGAGAACACAGCCTAGGGTTATAGCGCCGGAGTGCCCGGGAATGGCTGAGGGGTGACCGGCAGTGAGGACCGAGGCGAAGAGAGAGTTGGCCGGGTCTCTGCAGGAGGAAGGGTGGGGGCTGGACAACGGGAAGACCTTTGCTGATAGTGAAGATAAGTGAGACCCTGTTTTGGGGAAGCTGCCGAATTTTCTTTGGCGATGCCCTTTCAGCAAAGAGGAGACTATTTTGGTGACAATAGGGGAGAGTTCTTGGTGCACGGGGAGTTGGATCAAAAGTCCTATCATTGATCTTTGCCCTGGGAGGGGCTGGGAGGAAGTTCAGAACCATTTGAGTCCAGGGCTTTGAGAGCCTTGGTGCGGAAAAGAATGGGATCACAGGCGGACAGACAGCTCATTTTTCTTTCCAAAATAAAACCTTTGTAGAGCCCTCTGGTGGTTTTCTCTAAGAGCTCGAAGCGAGCAGGGAGACGATGTGAAGTCCCGGGAGACTGTGCTGGACCCATTGCACAGATAGGTGAAACCAAGGGCTCCGTGGACGAGTACCTTCCTTCTTAGAATATAAGCGCTCTGAGGTCAGGCCCCTGGCCTCTGGTCCTGCGGTCCCTGGTGCCTCGGATGCTGCCCGGCGCACGGCCTGCAGCACGCAGCGAAAGTGCCCGGAAGGAGGGAGCGCGCTCCAGGCCGGGGGCAGAGATGACCGCATCTCGCCGCTGTCTCCCGGCCCTCTTGAGAGAGGCCTGCATGATGAGGCACGCCGGAAAACGCCCGTTTCTAGCCTCGCGGGTGAGGTCACCTGTGTGTTTGTGAGCATTAGGTTGTGTTTGCTCACAGGTCCCCCCACCAACCGCCGCCCCCCCCCCCCCACCGCCTGCCACGCCACCCATTGGTGGTTCTCCGGTTCTCACTCTGTGTCCACCAACCCTTGGGCGTGTCACCCGTGCATGTCTGCTTTCTGCCAGCGAGTGTCACATGCCAGCGAGTGTCACAAAGTTTGCAGAAAACAGGAAGCCCCGTCAGCTAGAGGGCAGCCCAGTGATTCATCAGGGGATGACCGTCCAGCTGTTCGGCCCCATCCTCTGTGGCGGGGTCTCTGTCCGGGGCAGCTTCCTCCCCTCCCTCCCCTTCCCTGGCTGGCCCGGTGGAGCAGAGCGGGCTTGGACATTGTCTTATCACCTCTGGAGGTGGCATGGCCAGACTCTATTGGGGCCAAGTTTTTGTTTATCTTCCCTGGCTTTTTTTGGGGTGGGGAGACTAAAGAATGTGGAGTGTTGTAATGTTGGGAAGGGGGGTGGCGACACGGGAGCCAGCTTGCCTGCCCAGCTCATCCTTCTTACCCCTGTGCTGGGGGAGCTCCAGGCCCCCCTCGGCCCCCCCCGGTCCCCTTCCTGAGCCCCTCTCAGTAGCCCCTTGTCTCCCTGTGCTTTCTGCGCCTGGACCCGTGGCCCTGGCCACACCTCATGCCTTGGCTACAGTTGTGGCTTCCAGTTGTTTGAAGCAGCTGTGGTGGCCTCCTCCAAAAGTGGCTGTGGATCAGCAACAGATGAAGCCCGAGGGGCTATTTATAGCCGGGTGGCCCCGGGGCCTGGAGCGGGGCCTGCGGCCTGGGGAGGCTCAGCGACTCCTCGTCAGGACCAGCAGAATGGAGACGGATGAAGTGTTGGGTTTCTGCGTTCCTCTGGGTGGGTAGTTTTGGAACAGCCTGGTCTGGGGCTTGAAAACCAAACACAACCCTCCTTACCCCCCCACACCCCCCGCCCCACGCCTGACTCATGCAAGCCCAAGTCCTCAGGGCCAGGAGAGCTGTGGAGACAGAGAAACTTTCTGCCCCGACAGCCCCACTTGGCTGTTTCCTCCTGCTGCTGCCCGCGGAGGCTGAGCTGCGCAGAGCTGGGTGGGAGCCCAGGCAGAGGGGACTCTGGGCACAGCCTCCTCGTGGGCTGATGGATGGAGGGTCCTCCTCTTAGGGGGGCTGCTGTCTTTGGGCTCAGCAGGGAGCTGGGCCCCTGGGCCCTCCCACTCCCACCTCATAGGCTCTGTGGGGCCTGGAGAGGGCGGAAGGGGGCTTCTGCCCTTGAGGTCCAGCCCGAGGTCTGAGGCTGAATCCCGCCCGTCATCAGGACTTGGGGGTGAGTCGCTGTTGCCTCCGTTTTTCCTCTCTTGTCGGCGGGCTGTGATCCTGTCCCTCCAAGAGGTGGTTGTAACTTGGTGGTTGGGCATGGCTGGTTTCTGGGATGCCCGGGGATGTTTGGGAAGTGCCAGTGGGCTCGGAGGGCTCCGGCCGGGCCTGGGGGTCTAGAAGTCGCGTGTCCGATTCTGCATCGTGTACGGAGACTGAAAGGATGGCAGCTGGCGGCCGAGGTGACGCAGGGCTTTGATTTTCTGCAGAGGCGAAGGCAGGATTCTATCTCTTAACGGCCCTTCTCATTGTACTTGATGTAGTAACAGGAGCAACATACATGTGCCTTAATGTATGTGTAATTCCTTTTAATCTTCAAACAACCCACAGGGATTGCCCCAGTCTGCATGGGGCATTACCGAGGCTCAGAGCATGAGGTGATGCAGGGCAGCTGGGTGCCGTGGGGCTCTGAGCCCGAGCTTTCCTCACGGCACCGTCGGGTGCCCTGGGATGCTTTGGACCCCAGCTTGGGCCCCTTGGCCCAGTTTTGTGCAAGCCGGCAACCTGGAAGAGGCAGTGGGTGAGGGGTAACAGGCACTGGGCGGTGGGTCCTCGGGAGCGTGACTTACTGCCTTAAGCTGCTCCCGGTTGGTGCGCGTCATGCTTGGCTGCTCTCGTCTCTGAACGTTCAGTTGAAAGACTCGGTGTTGCTGCTTGACAGGAGGGACGTGTGGGGGTGACGATGGTCGGAGGAGCAAGGTGTGGAGCTGGAGAGGGGGTGCCGTCCTCGCCTTTCCTCCTCTCATGCTTGCTGTCTATATTCCCCCCTTGGGCTTCCTATTTCAGTGGCCAGTCAATCACGATGCAATGAGTTTCCATCAGCCCAGTAACTGTTTTGTTGAGTGTGTGCTCAGTACAGATGGCACCAGCCCAGGCGTGGGCCATTTCCGAGCGTCGGGGTTTTATCCTTGGGGGGGAAAGGAAAGCCTGTCTCTTTGGGGGCTCCCACACATGCAGGCACACTCACGTGGAATTGGCATTGATTGCTTTGGGCGTTGGGCTGCTTTGTTGTGGGGGGCTGTTAGGGTGCCCGGGCTGGAACGTGGGCAAAGGAAGGAGAAGAGGATCTCTGTTTGCCCATGACCATGACTGCGCCCATGGGCAGTGCTCTGCCCGCCTCCTCCATAATGCTGCTTCTCTTTTCTCTTTCTCAGGGCTCCACCAGAGTCACCCCGAGTGTCCAGCCCCATCCCCAGCCCGTCAGGTATGCCTGGCTATCGGGGGCACAGGGTGGGGGTGCTGGCAGTGAGGTCACTGTGGGTGTTCCCTGCAAGTCATGCCTTTGGGTCTCTGAGACTGAGGTCATGAAGCCAGTGGCAGGGAGCATGGGCCGTCGTGGAAGCCTCAGCCAGAGGGTGCAGGTAGATGCCCCTTGGCAAGGGCCACGTTCTGAGGTCTAGCTGGAAGCCAGCCTTGAGCTGAGTTTTGTATCAACTTGCGTGATCTCATCTAGTCCTTGCAAAAAACCTGCATGGTAAGTGTTTTATTCCCATTTGGAAGGTGAAGAAACTGAGGTTCAGGGAGATGAGGTGTCTTGTTCAAGGTCACACACAGGGACTTGGCACCTTGCTGACCCAGAGCCTCTTTTCCCTGTATCCAGGTTCTCTGGTTCTCTGGCTTGGGCCTTTCCCTCTCAGCTTCACCTTCCCCCGTGAGGCTCCAGAGATGAATGAGAATTTGGCCCCAGGAAGATGGGGCCTGAGCCAGAGGGAGCCTGGTGTGTGGCTGAAGCCCCCAGCGTGTTGTGGCCCAGCTGCCCACTGCCCACAGACCTGGTCTGCTCTTTGGAAGACCCCTCCCCCCCAACAGCTGAGAACCACCTCCGGGGGGGTGGGTGCACGGTGCAGTGCTGAGGTTGTCGGGCAGTGGTGCCATTTCACCTGCGGCAGGCAGGGGCCTGAGGTGGGAACCCCACCTCCAAAGGCTGCAGTGAGACGCTTATCTTTGGGGTGAGGAATGGCCGGGGTCAGAGCTCAAATTCACACTGTGCTCCTCACGGCAGCCCGCTGGCCCTTCCACCCTTGGTCTCTGTCATTGCCACTATGGAAAACTCTCACATTGCCCCTGGCTCCTCCATCCGCAAACCCCATACACACGGCTGGGCTCAGAGTTAACCCTGGTTGGGACCGGGATTCTGCCCTGTCTTGGCATCCTGGGCTGCCCTCCCCAGCGCCCTCCCCTTGCTTTGAAATGCCCTGGTGTGTTCCTCCTGCTGCCCCTCCAGTCACAGTAGTGAAAGGTGGTCAGAATGAAATGCAAGTGTCGCCCACCTCGGAGAGAGAGGGGACCAGACACCAGGAGGCTAGTGATGGGGTAAGAAGGCGTGCGGGTGGGGAGCATGTGCGGTGACCCCGGAAGCTACAGGTGGGCTTCAGAACGGAATTCCAGTGTCACAAGATACATTTCCCCTTCCCATCAGCACCCCAGTGGGCACCTTGGACCCTCCCCCTGGAAGAGAAGCTGGGTGAGGTGTCAAGAGGTGACCCCCTACCTCCCTTCATCTAGCACCCAGCCCAGGGGCTCTCCTCTCCAGAGAGCTCAGGTGGTGCTGGGCTTCTGGGGGCCGCCTGCCGCTGCTGCAGCAGCAAAGGCTCTGCGCCCTCTGCTTCCTGGGCCCTTAGGAATCAGGGAGGCTGCTGCCACAGAGCAGCCCCGGCCGCGGTGGGAGCTGCCAGAGGTGGGGAGAGAGCCAGGGAACAAAGGGCAGGAGCTGGCCTGCCTCCGGGGAGGGCTGGAATGCGCGCTAGGTCTGGCTCACCTGGAGCCCAGGTGAGCATGTCACCTGAGCCGCCCCTTCCCCTGAGAGGCCTCTCTGCCCACTGCACAGCTCCAGAGCTGGGGAGGTCAGCAGAAGGCTCAGCCTGAGATGCTGGAGAGCACCCAGCTCAGCCTCTCTTTCCTCTTCTGGAGCTGTCCCAGGACCCTCTGAGACACTTCTGCCAGACCAGGTGGCTGCTGTGTGTCGGGAGGCACAGCTGGACTCCTGGGGCCCTGGCTCTGACTTCTGAGATCAAGGGTGGAGGCAGTGCCAACAGAATTGATGGGAACCTAGGATTGGTGTCATCACTGTTTGGTTTTGACATGGCCCGCGATCCTTGCCAGCCCCTGCCTGGCTCTGTTCTCTCTGGGCCCCAGGCTGGCCTTGCTGGCTGCACTGGCCTCACCAGGGGCAGCCTCTGGGCTTGGCTCTGGGTCAGGGAGCAGCCAAGCTCTCCTGGGTTGGATATGGGGGCCGTGCACAGTGTGTAAGCGGTACAGATATATCTGTTCCTTGCCCTGGGGGGCTAGAGTCTGATCTAGAACCCCCTCTCTGCTAGTCTCCCCAAAAACATGAGTGTGAGCCGGACCATGGAGGACAGTTGTGAGCTGGACCTGGTATACGTCACCGAGAGGATCATCGCCGTCTCCTTCCCCAGCACAGCCAATGAGGAGAACTTCCGGAGCAACCTGCGTGAGGTGGCCCAGATGCTCAAGTCCAAACATGGAGGCAACTACCTGGTGAGGACGGGCCCCTCACCCCCTCTTCCAGCACGTCCCTGCCCTTTCTGCTTGCCACCCCCTGCTGGTGTCCCAGCCCACGCACCCCGAGCCAGCTCTTTATCCTTTCTTCGTCCACTTGCTCTCGGCCCTGGGTGTCTCCTGTAGCCGGAATCTTCACTCCTACTCTAGCCCAGCTCTGCTGTAAGGAGTACGTGCAGTTGGAATGCAGCATCTGAAACCAAGTCATGTGCGCCTGTGTGCACATGCATTGCATGTTTATGTGTGTGTTTGTGCCCATATATGTATGTGAGTGCAGGTGTATGTGTGTGCCTATGTGTGTATGAGTGCGTGTGTGTGTGTGCTGACCAGTGGAGAGAGTAACAATAAGAGCTCGTGTTATTGAGTGCTTACGACAAGCCAGACCCCGTTCCACCTGCTTCCACGTATGGAACCTTCGGGACAGCCCTAGAAACCAGGTTTTGTCAGAGTCCAGAGGGGCGGGGCATCTGCTTAAGTTCACAGTGTCAGGAAGTGGCAGGCCTGGCCCATGGTAGGCACCTCTGAGAAGTCTCAGGGCAGAGCTGTGGCAGAGTGTGTCTTAAGGGACCTTGTGTTGCTGATGCTGGGGTTGTACCTGGCCCAGGAGAAGCACCTCGCAAATGTGGATGGAGTGGCCACCAGGGGTCTCCTCTAATGTCAGAGAGGCGGCCGGGGGATGGGGCCATTCCTGGCCCCAGAGGAAAGCCTGGGTCCACTTTACTGGGAGGTACACGTGGGCTGGCCCCGTAGAGTGGACTGTGCAGCCTCGAGGGGCTACCCTTGGATGTTCGCGCAGAGGCAGCTGTAGGGGGCTGTGTTAGGTCCCTGGGGCTGCTGTGGTGAATTACTGTACACTCGGGGACTTAAAACAACGGAACTTAATTTTTCACGTCTGGAGGCCAGAAGGCCAGATCGGCGTGTTGGCAGGGCCGCGTCCCCCCGGAATCCTGTAGGGGAGCAGCCGGCCTTGCCTCTCCCCAGCGGCTGGTGGCTCTGGTGTCTCTGGTGACCCCTGGCTTGTAGCTTCGTGGCTCCAGCCTCTGCCCCCATCGTCACGTGTCCTTCCTTCTTTCCTGTGACCCTCTGTGTGTCCTCTTGTCTTCTTATAAGGACACCAGCCCTTGGGTTTAGGGCCCACCCTCAATCCAGGGTGATCTCATGTCTAGATCCTTAACTACTTACATCAGCGGATGCCCTATTTCCAAATAAAGTCACATTCTGAAGATCCGGGTGGGTGTGAATTTTTGTGAGACACTGTTCAACCCACTGCAGACACCCAGCCATCAGTGGTATTGGGTGTTGTGAAGAGCTTGGCTTTAAACATCAGAAAGTCCTGGGTTCAAGTGCAGGCTCTGCTCTAGTTACTAGGTAGCTGGTCTTGGCCACTTAGCCTCACCAAACCTTAAGATCCCCATCTGTAAAATGGGTCTAACAACATTACCCACCTCTTGTGGTTGTTGAGAGAATGAAGCCACCTGATACAGGTGCAGTTCTCAGCACAGGATGGCAGGTAGTGGATAATCGAGCGGTAGCTAATATCAGTGTAGCGTAGCATGCTCCTTAATGGGGCTCAAACATGGACTAAAAGCCATCTAAGGTCCTTCCTGACTTCGGGAGTCCAAGATTTCATGGGCCTATGCCAGCATCCCTCCGTCCTGTCTGTTCCCGACTGGGGGGCCCTTTTCTCTCCCCAGACACAACGCAGTGGTCTTGGAGTGGTGAGGTGGAGACAGAGACAGGCATTCCAGAGATTGGGGGCTTCTCGTGGGGCGTGGTTAGGTGTTGGAGAGCATGCGTTGAGGTCTGAGAGGGTGCACCTGGGATGGTTTGCAGCCTCCGCTGGAGGATGTCTGACCACAGAGCCATTGCACCTTCATGGGGTGAGGTTCCGAAGTCCACATGTGAGATGGGAACCAGAGGGAAGGCCTAATGTTTCACATTTGGCACCACCGGGTTCCATTCAGTGTGGGGAGGTGCCCACCTTGGGGGTGGCACGGGGGACCTGAGACAGTTTCCATTCCCTTCTCGTCTCTAGTTCCGGATGTCCCCTTGCTGAAGGGAGTGGCTGAGTGTCCACCCTTCTCTCCCTGCCCTCTTTACCCTGAGAACCTGCAGTTGAGCTCCCGTGGGTCGGTGCGGGCGTCCGATGGGATGCCGCCATTGCTCACGTGGGGGCAGAATTCCCAGCCGGGGTGAGAGCCGCAGGCGAGCCTTTTCACGATCTCGTCCTTTTCCTCCTTCCAGCTTTTCAACCTCTCTGAGCGGAGACCCGACATCACAAAGCTCCACGCCAAGGTGAGCCCGTGCCTCGTGGGGATGGGGGCTTCCACCTGCCTGGGAGGGAGGGATAACAGACAGGCCCCCTCTCCCCGCGGTTCCCACATTCGGGCCTTGGGGGAGTGTGCGGTGACAGCCTGCAAAGTCTATTATAGTGCCGTCTTCCTACTCGGAAAGTGGGAAAGAATCTGTTCATTGTTTCCACAACACCAATCACAACAAACAAAACTTGATACAGTGATTTCCACCCAGGTCTGCCTCCCCTACGGAGCACATAGCCTCTCTGGGGTGAGGCTGGAGCTGTGAGATTTTTAGTTTTATGGAAAGGCACGTTGGATTTAAACCGGCTGGGCATGGCCCATGTAGACCTTCTTACCTCCTCCTTTCACTTGCTTGCCTGGTGGGCTGCGTGCAGGGCTTGGCGTGGTGCCCGCTCCTGGCTCCTGGATGCTGGTGCCTGTGCTGTGTGTGACCCTGGGGAAGTGACACACTTCTCTGAGCCTCAGTCTGCACCTCTGAAAGTGGGCGGGCTGGATCACATGCACTCTTTGGGCCCGTCCAAGCAAAAGTTCTCTTTTGCTGTAGAGCTCTGTGAGTTTAGAAAAATCTCGAGGAGCCTGGAGACCACTGTTTAGGTCTGCCCTCCGTCCCCATCAGCGTCTCTGGGCTGGCCTGGAAAAGTCAGTGGTGTGTGTGGCCAGGGCCTGGAAAAGAGCCACGACCAGCCAGGAGCCCTTTGCTCTGCCCTCCTTTGCCCTGAGCCAGGCCTTGGGGTTGTGTGTGGGGGGAGTGCTGGGGGCCCCGTTACATCTTGAGGTCATTGTCCCCAAGCCTTTGTTTTACACATGTATAAAACTGAGGCTGGGAGAAGGGCCATGACTGGCCAGAGGCCCCACAGTGAGCCAGTGTTAGGACTGAGACTCAGGCACAGGGCATCTGGTCCTGGCCATTGTTCTTTGCGTCCACGCCCCCACCTCCCAGCTGGGCTGATGGGCGGGGCAGGAACCGAGGCCCAGCTGCTGATGACCACTGCCCCGATACTGGCACGTGGGGTGGGTGTGTGCTGCCCCCACTGCCCTGGGGGCTGTCCGGGCTTCTGCCACCTCTCACTCCTGGCTGGGCCTCAGGTGCTGGAATTTGGCTGGCCTGACCTCCACACCCCGGCCCTGGAGAAGATCTGCAGCGTCTGCAAGGCCATGGACACTTGGCTCAATGCAGACCCCCACAATGTCGTCGTTCTGCACAACAAGGTCAGAGCAGGGGCCCCACGGTGTGTGAGTGAGTGTGTGTGTGTGCACTGTGCGTGCACATGCATGAAGACACCCTTGGATGAGGGTGTCTTCATCCTTGGATGATACTTGCCTGTATCATGGGGTGTGTGAGTGTGTAAGTCTGTATGTATTCTCCTTTCTGGAGTGTGATAGATTCTGTCCCAGGGGCACCCACAAGAGGTGTGGGGTACCAGCTTGTAGGGCCCTCAAGGGTAGTGGGTGGTCAGCTGTGTTTCTTCTCTTTGAGATCCAGCCCCCACCCCCTTCCCTCCCTCATATTCCCTTCATCCTCCCGTTCTTCCTTAGAACCATACCCTTCTCTCCAGCCTCTGCGCCCTTTCCTCCAAGGCTTCTGAATGGACCCCGGAGCAGTAGGCTGGCTTTACAAATAAAGGCTTTTGTGTTTGGGGACTCTTTCAGGGAAACCGAGGCAGAATAGGAGTTGTCATTGCCGCTTACATGCACTACAGCAACATTTCAGCCAGGTAAGAGGGCTCTGAGCCACCCCTTCTCTGAGCATTGACAGCAGAACCCCCCCGCCCCATCCCACCAGGACCTGTCCCTCCCTTGGGGCTGGATGGAGTGGGTGAGAGGTGCTCAGGACGAGGGAGCGCCCACCGAGGGAGGGTGTCTAGCCACATCTCGGGCAGGGGCCTGTGGACAGAGGGCAGGAGGGAGGGGCGTCCATACCTCCATTGTAGGTCCTGGAGGGGCAGCCTTGGGGGCCAGGCCCAGCCATGGACACCCTATCTATCCAGCTTCCTGGGGCCACTTTTTCTTGCTAGACTGCTTTCTGTTTCCCTGGGTGAGCAGGGAGGGTGTCAGAAAGAAATGCTGGATCAGAGCTGGGTCCCGCAGAACCACCTAGAAGTCATCTCATCCATCCTCCCGTCTCTGGCCAGCAGGACCCTTTCCCCCTTGGGTGTTTGGGAGCAGGGCTGATATACAAGTGGTGGAGGAGTCCCATTGTGATTCCACCTGCGGAGGCAGAGGAGCCCACCCATCCATCTGCTTATTCACCTGACGGTGGTTACTGGCCAGCCATGGCGCCGTGCTGGGTGCTGGGAATACAGCAGCGGTGGGCAAAGCCAGGCCACTGTCTGTATGGACATTAAATAAACGAGTGTATCAGTAACAGCAGGTGATAAGTTCTGCGAAAGAATGGGGACCAGAGCACGACAGGGGTCAGAGGAGGCCTCTGGGGGAGGTGATGATGTGAGCAGAGACGCACATTACGTGGAGGAGGGAGGGACGGGTTGAGACATGTAAGGTCTGGGAGGGGACTTTGCAGGCAGAGAGAAGAAAGGCCCGAGGCGTGTGGAGGGGATGCATGCGAGGGGCTGGCCTGTTTGGAGCTGAGTGAGTGAGGGGATGAGGAGTAGGAAGTAAAGCTGGAAGGCGGCAGAGCCTGGGGGGCCTTGCAGGACTCGATAAGGACTCTGGGGTTTATTCTAAGAGCGGCGGGAAGTCGTTGGCAGAGTCATGAGGGGGGAGCTATGTGATCTGCCTACATTTTAAAATGACCTCTCTGAACACTCTTTGAGGGTGGGGAGAACGTTCTGTGGAGGGCTTGCCAGGAGGATGACAGTTTTACAACTTTAAGAACTTCGTCTTAGCCTACTCTTTGCTTAATGGTGAGCACTTGCTGTGCACCTACTATGTGCCTGCCTGTTTCAAGCGCTTTAGAGGTGTTCGCTCACCATAACAAACTCTGAGGAAGGCAATTACTATCACTCTGATTTCACACACACGAATCCGGTTCAGAAAGGTCACGTGGCCCACCCCAAGGTGCAGCGATGGTGATGAAGTGGTGGGCTAGGGATGGGCTCCCCGCTGTCTGGCTCCAGACCCCCGTGCAGCACACAGGATTGATAGATGTCGGGCTCTCTTTCCTGAGAGGGTCTCAGCACAGCGTGGCTGGAGGACTCAACGGGTCTGGAGAGCAGGCAGGGGGTGAAGGGGCTCTTGTGCTTGGATGTTGGCTCCTCTGACCACCTGTCCTTCCCCCTAGCGCCGACCAGGCCCTGGACCGGTTTGCAATGAAGCGGTTCTATGAGGATAAGATCGTACCCATTGGCCAGCCGTCTCAGAGAAGGTGGGTCTCACAGCCCAGGGCACGCATGTGTGCGCTCGCTGTATGTGGGGACTGGTCTTGTGTACCCACTGGGGATGGGGCAGCGTGCCCAGGTCGGGGTGTACCAAGCATGCATGTTCAGGGGCCAGCTCAGGGGCTGAGCTCAGGGACATGGGTGAGTGTGCCCACAGGTGGGCACTGCAGTTGGCTCCTGAGGCTGGTGCTGGAGAGCAGCGGGGGTATCTGTGGGGGACGCACTGGTCTGGGTGCAAGAGGGCGGATTGTATGAGAAGGCAGTTCCACTCTTGGTCCTGAAAGCAGGACTGCTTCAGTGTGTGGGTGAGTCTATACGAAGCTGAGGTCCCTGCCCTGAGTAGGTCACACATACTTTTAATAAGAGTCACCTTTCACTGGGAAAGCGTTTAAAAACTTTACCAAGGACACTCCACCACGTGGTCTCATTGGAGTCCACGACAGCCCGGGCAGGAACAGGGCAGGGACTGGCTCAGTCATTCATTTGGCAAATGTTAGGTATGTCTGTGGTATTCCAAGTGCTAGAGATATCTAGTTGAATAGGACACAGCCCTTTGCCCCTAGTGAGCTGGTATTCTATTGAGAAGGGCGGACATTACACAAGTAAATATACAAACAAGACACTTTCAGGTAGTGATTCGTTCTAGGAAAGGAGGAGGATAGAGTTCTGCAGAAATGAGAGCTGATGGGAGAGGAACGGGGCTGTTTGAGTGACCATGGCCAGGGAATGCCTCTTGGAGGAGGTGGATTTGAGCCCAAAGCTGAATAATGATGAGCTACCACCCGACGACCCAGGGCACCTCCAGTTACAGGAGAGAAGCCTGAGCCCAGGGGGAAGGGACATGACATGACCAGGGTCCACAGAGAGCAGTGGCAGAGCCAGAATGTCTGGAGAGACCTGCCCCCTGGTTGTGTCGTCCACATCCCGAGGGCCGCCCCGGGACTCAGCTCTAGGACAGCATGCTGTTCGGTGATGTCTGACCCACAGGAAGGCACAGGCAGTGTCAGGACCGGGTGGGCCTTGGGAGGCTGCAGGTGAGTGGGAGCCCGAGTGGTGGAAACCCAGGCCCAGAGGGGAGCACAGGAGAGTTGGACTCGGGCCTTGCCCCCCGAGTGGCCAGAGCTGTGGGCCTGTCACCCCTGTCTGTGATGTGTTGCACTGAGCTGCTCGCTGGGGCTATGACGCTGAATCGCTCAGGCAAGGTCTCTTGGGGCTTACCTTCAGGTGGATGACACCACGGAAGTAAGCCATCAAGGTCATTTCAGAGAAGTGGAGCGTGATGGGTGAGAGAGTGATGGGAGTGGGCACGGGAGGCTGATTCCAAGGGACCGGCCTCTCTAAGACGGCGATGTGTGCGGTGGGATCTGAGAAGAGAGAAGGAAGCATCTGAGTGAAGGTCTGGGGTAGAAGGTCTAGGCAGAGGGGACAGCAGGTGCACCGGCCTGGAGGCCACAGTGTCCCATTGAGTTTTCTAACCTTTGGAACACTTGGCCAGCAGGATCCCCTTGCTGCATGTGCCAGGGCTTCCCAGACTCTCCATGCTGGGGTGTCCCCAACTCACATCACTCTCACCTTGCTCGCCTCTCTAGAAATGTGCTGGCACTGCTGGGCACTGTTTCCGCCATTGTAGTGGGAAGCCCTAGCAGAAATGAGTGAGTCCTCAGGCAACCCAGTGTCTTACAGTTGGCACAAGGCAGCTAGCTGATGGCCAGCCTCAGGTCAGCTGGATCAGAAACCAGATATCTTTACATGCAGAAAATCCTGGCTGGGCTGCCAGACACAGCAGCTGGGGATCAATGAGAGTGTTCCCAGGGAAGAAGTCTGGGAGGGAAGAACTATCGCTCAAGTACCCGCTCCTCAGTCCCTGGCTTGCCTGGCCTTGGCCACGAGTCTGGCCCTTGCCATGGAAGGACAAGGGGCACAGCTGGAGGAGCATGACGCTACCTAGGCGCATTGTGGCTTGGAGAGAGCAGGCAGAGTCGCCACGCCTCTGAAGCTGGAAACCTGGAGAACGGGGATCAGTGCTGCCTCTCACGAGTAGGGTCATGCAGGGGTTCCACAGTGCTCGGTGTGTGTGTCTGTACACTATCTGTGTCTGCCTTGCAGCTCCTATCTGCACCCACAGCTGCTTAGGGGTAGGCTATTCTGTTTGTGCCCAAATGTGAAAGTGCAACTGTCGGGCTGGCCACGTATTTGCTGCCACTTTCCCGCCTTCTTGTCAGTGTCACTGGGAAGCTATGAGGCAGTTGGAGGAGAAGAGGGCAGGGTGAGAGGGAGGGAGGGGCTTGGCCTGCGGCTTTCCCATTCATTGTCACCCCACCTCCGGACTCATTGTCCCTAGCACACAGACACATCCTGTTGGCATGATCAGAAGTTCTGATAGGAACCCGCCATTCCAGGTTTCCGGTTTGAGTAATGGGGCTGGGGGCTGGGCAGGGGCCTGAATAGGAGCTGGAGCTGCCCATCAGATTATCTTGCTTGGGTTGTCCAAGGTGGCCCCACCCCAGCCCAGGGACAGGGGCCCACGGCCTGGAGGTAGGCCAAGGAGTGAAGATATAGGAGGGGATTCTTATCATGGTCACTTGAGTTCTGGCCCCACCCACCTCAAAAGCCCATATTGGCTTCCTCAGAGTCTCAGATGTGTTCTGATTGGTTGGGCTGCTGCAGCCTGCTGTCCTCTGGCCAGTCAGAGTAGAAGGAAGCTCTGGCCAATGGCAGAGGGATTGGCCTCTGTTCTGGCAGATGCATTGGAGTCAGACTTCTTTCCTTCTCTCCCCATTCACTCTGAGCTCTTTGTGTTCTTGCTGTGTGACTTTGGGAGGCTAATGGCCCTTTCTGGACCTAATTTTTCCTTTCTGTTTAGAAGGAGTGGGCATAGATTAATCCTTCTATTCTTCCAACAAGATCTTTGTTAAAAGAATTGGGAAATGGTGACCCCAACACCAAATGAAATGATCTAGAGAGACTTTCCTACACTTTAACATGATATAAAAAAGTGAAGGCCTGTATTTATTATGCTCTTGTTCTCTGGAGGGTCGTGTGGCTGGTGGGCCTGCGCAGAGCTGACCCAGGCCCTGTGGGAATGAATGTCAGCTCGGTTTGGGCTCTGGATAAGGCTGTCAGAGCTGTCTGATGGTCATCAGCCTACCTCGTCTAGTGGTGAGCAGTTCAGGGATACCTGTCAGGGCTGTGGGGGAGGAACTTTTGATCCAGCAGGAGATTCCTGGATTGGGAGTGAAGCAGGAATGAGATGCTCGTGTTGACCACCAGGGGTCGCCGGAGAACCCCAAGTTGTGGGTTTGGCTAGACCCAGCTCTAGGTGTAGTAGTCCCTGCTCACCCTTCCTATCTGGGGGTTTCAGGCAGCAAGGGAGGTCTGTGCTGGGCAGAGACCTGAGCCATGGGGAGGCCTGGGGGTGTTGGTGGCTGGTTGGGGCAGGCTAGGTGGGAACACATAGGGCGGTGTTCTGCGGGGGAAGAGAACACGGGATGGCTCTGCCCCGGTGCGGGCCTCCTTGGCCGACGCTGCCCCTGTCCCTGCTCCAGGTACGTGCATTACTTCAGCGGCCTGCTCTCGGGCACCATCAAAATGAACAACAAGCCCTTGTTTCTGCACCACGTGATCATGCACGGCATCCCCAACTTCGAGTCTAAAGGAGGTACGGGCTCCAGCCCTCTGGCTTCCCACCCCCTCCTGCTTTCCGTCTCCTTCTCCGAAGAGGCAGCCATGGGTGGTGAAAACGCAGGCGTGGACTGGAGGCTCAGCTGCCCCACTTCCTGAGCTTTCTTTAGCCCCAGTCTACTCACTGGCACAGTGGGCTCCACACTCGCGGTGCCTGTTGACAGATGTTGGACGTGGCAGTGTTTTTGTCAGCTTAATATGACTTGCGAATGGAAAGCTGGCATTTCTTCCCCTTTCTCTTTCCATTGCCCCTTCCTCTTTTTCTCCTTCCTCTTCCTCCCCGCTTCCTTCCTTCCGCCCCCACTTCCTTCACTCTCTCTGCTCCCTCATCCGGCCCCCGCTGTCCCGCTGTCTCAGCTAACGCCACCCTTGCCTTACAGGGTGTCGGCCATTTCTCCGGATCTACCAGGCCATGCAGCCTGTTTATACATCTGGCATCTAGTAAGTATTCCACAGGAATGAGAGGCCTGGATGCCATGGCTCTGAGGCTGAGGACCAGGAGCTGGCAGGGTGGGTGTGTGTGGGTTGGGGGGCTCCTTAAATCCCTTATAGGAGAGGGCTAAGGGGTGAAGTCAGCAAAGTTTCCCAATGACCTGGTGGCAGAGGGGCAGAAGGGAGAAAATGCACTGCCTGCCCCTGCAGCAGCCCCTCTTTCCCTCGGCCCACCTCTCCCCCACAGCAATGTCCAAGGAGACAGCCAGACCAGCATCTGCATCACCATCGAGCCTGGGCTGCTCTTGAAGGGAGACATCTTGGTGAGCACTGCCCCTCTGCCTGTAGCCCCACCTCTTCGTTTATTTTTCTCCCTTCTCTTCCTGCTCTCCGCCTGCCTCTCCCAGGCAAGACTCACTCACTCCTGGTGGGCCACCAGCCTTGGGGTTGTGGGCTCTCAGGTCTCTTGCAACGCCTTCCAACCCCTGACAGTCCTTGTTCATTCTCCTGCTTTGGAGGCAGACAGCCCTTCTGCTGGGCTTACCTCTTGTTCTGGAACAGCTGGGGAACTAGCTGTTAGTGGGAGCTCTTACCTCCTGGCTTCTGATTGGTGACAAGGACTCCCCCAGTTCTAGATTCAGCCCTTCCTCTATCGGTTTGAATCTGCTCCTACTTTTTCCATTCTGATCTGTATGCAGGAAATTCTTGAGAGGTAGTTTTGTCCCCATGGGATAAGACTGGCTTCCAACTCTCTGCTCTTCTAAAAGTTTTTCCAGAGAACTCTGAGATCCCATTTGGTGTTGGTGACCTCTCTCTCACTGGGTTTGGGGCGAGCCTTGGGGACCCAGTCTTGGGTCTGGTAAAGAAGCTCCCTGGGACCCAGGTCCTCAGCCTCTGGCCCCTGATGGGCTCTGCTCTCTTTCTCGTGCAGCTGAAGTGCTACCACAAGAAGTTCCGGAGCCCAGCGCGAGATGTCATCTTCCGTGTGCAGTTCCACACCTGTGCCATCCATGACCTGGGGGTTGTCTTTGGGAAGGAGGACCTTGATGAAGCCTTCAAAGGTGGGCCCATTGAGTGGAGAGGTAGATCTTGCAAGGGACCATTCTATCACAGGGCAGACGAGCAGTTACGGAGAAGGACGTGGCAGCAGTGGAGAGGCAACTGTTTTCTGAGGGAAGAGGAGGTGGTCAGGGAGGTGTCTCCCCTTTTTCTTTTCTCTATCCATTTGAGGTTTTATCTGCATCACATTCAGGACTGGGACATATCCATATCCATCCGTCTGTCCATCCATCTGTCTTTCCATCTGCCCACCCACCCACCCATCCAAACTTATCTATCTGTGCATTTATCTACTCATCCATCCATCCATCGATCCATCCACTCACCTACCCATCTACCTACTCATCCAGAGGTATGCACCCATCCACCCATCCATCCATCCACTCATCCAACCACACACCCAAATCCATCCATTCATCCATTCATCTGTCCATCTATCTATCCACCAAGCCTGTGTATATGTGTTCATTTATCCAGCCACTCGTGTGTATATGTGCCAGCTGTGTGCTAGATCTTGGGGATACAAAGAGAAAGAGGTGAGCCCAGAACCTCAGGGAGCTCAGTCTTGTGGGAGAACAAGACCCACACACACATGATGCTAGGAAGTGATGCCTGCAGTGACAGAGGCATGCGCAGGTGTGGTGGGTACCTCAGGGAGCGGACCCCATCCCTGATGTAACTTCACTTGCTATAAGCAGTATATGGGGATCTGTGTCCAGACTGGGCTCAGACAGAGAGCAGAGTGGGGTGGGGACTCGGAGGAGGAGGGGCATGACCTCCCAGTGGAATCTGGCTGTGCAGGAGAAGGGTGTGTCCTTGCACTGGAGCCAGGAGGGCAAAAGCAGAAGATGCCGCTATGATTATAGAACAGAATAAATGTTATCAATTGTAACAAGGGAAAATGAAGGAACAGTTGACACCATAGAGATGGGGTTGGTGAGAGATGGGAGAAGGAAAAGGACAAACATTCCTCCTCTTACGTAGAGGGAGTCAGGTCACCATCAAAAATGGACAGACCAAGAAGTAGAGGCTTACTACAATATTTAAAGTTTTGAAGGTAATTGGTAGAATTCACGGTGATGGTGATAAAAATAATAATAGCAGATTTTAGGAGAAGGGAGGTGAGAGCAGTGTAAATGAGCTGAATCACTCACCTTCACAGAGGTAAATCAGTGGGGATTTAAAAATACTGATGTGTCCAGAAATAATGGCATAAAAACTGTGGCTGTGATCTAGAATCTTAGAGGTCACTGCCAGTAGAACAAGAAATAGAAATGGGTAGAAATGGTCACCTCAGGAAAGTACGACTGGGACTGCTAATAACTTAATATATAATTGATGTGTGCCTGCGTATTACTTTAATCTTTTCTAGAAGAAAACTTCTTATGGAGTTCTTTTCTGAAACTGATTGACCACTTCATTTTTCCCTTCTCCTTTTTTAGATGATCGATTTCCAGAATACGGCAAAGTGGAATTTGTGTTTTCGTACGGACCAGAGAAAATTCAAGGTATCAGTCACGTTAGAATCCACTCATCATTCAACTCCCTTCCCTCCATCCTGGCCTGTCCCCACCCTCCTTCACCATTCTCCCCCCATCTTCTCTGTAATTGTCAAGCTACCTGTGATCAAAAGGCAGGCCTACCGTAAAAGATCTGGGTATCATAGTGGACCCCCAGCTAAACATGAACCAGTGACTTAATCTCTGGGTAGCAAAAATAAAAAAGCAGACAGAGAGGCGCTGGGTTGGATAAACTGTTCCAGTCCCATTAGGTCACCACCCACGTATATTTAGAGACCAAGGGCCGTGGAGGATGGAGGGAGTGGCTGAGGGGACACTCCAAGGTGCTGGGTACACGAGAAGTATTTCTGAGAACCGAGGTGATTCAACCTGAAGATGAGAAGACCAATTTAATAATAGCCATGGAGCCTTTGGGCTGGTTATATGTGGAGACCAGTTGTTCCCCATCTTATTTGAGGACAGAATGCAAGGACATGAAGCTAGGTTGCAGACAGAGGGACTCTGGGCGGATTAAAGAAGGGACTGCCAGGTCAGGGAGTGTCTGACTTGCATGCGGCCTGTGCCATCTTCATTTTGGCCTTTCTCTGGAAGTGTATGTAGGAGACCTGCTGCCTCTGTCCTCACACCCCCACCTGGAGTGGAGAGCTCCTCAAGTAGTGGGGCAGGGGGATGGCCTGGACGACCCCGTGTCCTCTCAAAACCCAGGCTGTGAGCCCTGCTCCTCCCACATGCCGCCCGCCTGCAGGGGCAGACCCTGGTCTCTGCACTGCCCCTGGGCCACAGAAAAGAAAGGGGCAGAACGCATCCAGAGGGTCCCCAGCTTTCCCTTGCTGGGGGGGGGGTTTCACTTCTCAGTGCCCTGTCCTCATTTCCCCCTGTGACCTGGTATGTGCCTTTTCAAGAATGCAGGAAACCAGACCCCTAGGTTCTCCGTCCAACTTAAGCCACTGGTCCCGCCCTGCCAAGGTCAAGAAAGTGAGAAGTCCCTTAGAGAGCATCCTTGGGGGATCTCGTCGGCTTCCTCTGTTTTTTCAGCTGCTGGTCTCTTTTTTCTTTCTCCTCCCTGTCCGCCTGCCCTTCCCCACCCTTTCAGGCATGGAACACCTGGAGAACGGGCCGAGCGTGTCGGTGGACTACAACACCTCCGACCCCCTCATCCGCTGGGACTCCTATGACAACTTCAGTGGGCACCGCGAGGACGGCATGGAGGGTAGGTGGGGCCCGTGGCTTCCCGCCACTCTCCAAACCGCACAGCCCCTGGGCCGCGGCTGTCTTGTTTGGCACTGACACCATGCTGGGTTCAAAGGGCAGGCAGAGGAGACATCCAAGCGCCTCTGAGAGCTCAGAGTTCCGTGGGAGACAAGGAGGCAAACGTGAATGTGTTAAATAATGAAGGCGGAGCTTAAAAAAAAGGAAAACATAGTCAAACAGCCACACGAGGAGGTGCCCTTGGCGCCAAATAAGTCCCACGGACGTTGAGTGCTAGCTAGAGTGGCCCGCGAGGGCTCCTTAGAGGAGGCGGCTGGAGTGGACCTTGAGGCACCCGCTGTGATGCCAGCGCAGCCTTTGTTGGGTTTCCTGTGAAACCCGCCGCTGCGCATCGGCAGGCTCACCGCCGGGGTCTCTGGGCTCGGAGCACTCGGAATGCGGACAGAGCATCGAGGCCCACAGGCTTTCATCGGCAGCCAACGAAAACGTTCGAGAGCTGGAGACAAACAGATAGGCTCCACAGTTTGAAAAGCAAGCTCCGGGATGGAAATTAATACGTGTTTAGCTGCGAAACCTAACATTATGTCAGATGGTCAACAGCAACTCAGTTGGGCTCTCGGGAGCTATATATGGGGTTGTATTTATTCATGTGGTTCGTTTGAGTGTGTGAGGTGGGGTGCGGGGCGGGGCCTCGAAAAGCGAGCATGCCTGGAGGTCGGGAACTCGTGAGACACCCTGTCTGGGGTTTGGCCACAGGCTCGCGTCCCTGATTCGGTCCCAGGACCGCGGAATGTGGGAGCTGGGAGGACCCTCGGGACCATCGGCCCACCCCTCCATCAGTTTTCAGTTGGGGTAGCTGAGACCCACTTGGTTTGTCCCCGTGAGCTGGGGCGCACCCCTTCAAGGACACCAGAGCCCAGCCTCTGGGCTTCTCCTTCCAGCTGAAACCGGTCCTGGGGAGGGGCGGCTGCGTCCTGGGGACCCCGGGCCACGTGGCAGGGCTGTGCTAGGGAGAGCCAGGCACCCTCGCCCTGCCTCCCGCCTCCCTCTCTGAGGTTCTGGGTTTGTGGACTCTACCCTGAACATCTTTTAAGCCTCTTCTTGCGTGAAGATTCTCCCTCTGGCCTTGGAGACACCAGAAGGAGCGATGTGGGAGGAGGGTGGTGTTCGGGCTGGAAGTTAGGGCTTGGTGAGAGCGCACTGTTCTGTGCGCAGCGCTGCAGAGTTGAAGCCGCCTCCTCATGCCTGCCCTTCCTCTCCCCTAGCGTGCGGGCACCCCACTCCCCCCAGGCAGCCCCCCAAACAGTCCTCCCCCCTCCCCACTGCCCCAGCCCTATCCGCTGGTGCTGAGTGGCTGAGGAGGGAACAGAAGGAGGCAGAGGGTGAGATGAATTAGTCCTGAGGTACCGGTGGCTGTCAGCCTAATTGTTCATCTTCTGGGGATGTTTGCATTTTTAACAAGAACACTTGGCAATTTGAGGGAATTTTCAATGACTTTCCATCTCTCCCTGGTGTGGATTCAATGCGATGATAAATGTAAAAACATTTGGTAAACTCTAAAGCGCCAGGCAAATAAAAGGTAAAATAATTAAGGGGGGAGAAGGAGTGGCTGTGGAAGGCCAGGGCTCGGACAGGACCAGCCTGCCGGTCCTGGGAAGGAGGGAAGGAGGGAAGGAGGTGGGGCCGAGGGAACAGGGAGGGTGGCGGGGGAAGGAGAGGGTGAAGGGCGGCCCTGGCCTGCTGTCCTTTCTCCTGCGGTCTGCTCCTCCTGGCCGGGGATGGAACCAGTGGGACCTTCTGGCCAGTTGAAGGTCAGCTCGTCCTGTAGGGACAGAGCGGCTCCTCTCTGGAGGCTGAGAAGTTGGCTCTATGCCTGAAGGGTGGGCAGGGGAGGCAGCTGGGGGGTCACCAGGCAGACCTCACCAGTCCCACTGTGTGCTCCCCGCTGCTGCTGGGCTGCACTCCACAGGGACAGGAAAGCAAACTGTGACCAGCCCTGGGGCAGGGACAGGAACCTTAGCCCCTTCCTGCTCCTTCTGCTACCTGGGGCACTTCTGGAAGGCTGTAGATCCTGGGGCCCAGACATAAAGCATTTTGTTCTGGCCAATTCCCCAGTCAAGAGAGGGAAGCAGAAGGCCTGTGTCTGTCTCCCTAGTTGTGGACAAGTCCCTGTGCCTCAGTTTCCCCATGTGCCAACTGGGGTGGAGGCACACCTAACCCCCAAGATTCTGAGGTGCTCAGGAGATGGCTTAAGCTGGAGCCGGGGAGGGGGCGTGGCCTTTCCCTGGAGTGGTCCAGGGCTGGGGGAATGGCCTGGGGGGTGATGTGCTGCCGCAGGGGGCTCTGCCCCTTCTCTGGGAGGTCCTGACCTGGGAGGGGCCGCTGACCCTGGGGTGGTAGGGTGCAGTGGGCGAGTGCAGTGGGTGGTACAGCGCGGTGGGCGAGCGTGTGTGCCTCAGAGCCCGCCTGCCCGGGCCCCAAGCCTAGCTCCCCGCTCTGTGGCTGCATGTCCATGGTCAGGCTATTTAGCCTTCCTGTGGTCCCTCGTTTCCTCATCTACAAACTTGGGGCAGGAACAGTACCGGCCTCACTGGGTTATTGTAGCGATTTGCACGAGAGGCAGTTTAGTGCAGGAGCTGAGAATGTGGCCTCTGGAGCTAACCTGCCTAGGTTCAAATCCTTTGATGAGACGCCATCCTCCTGGGGCCTCAGTCTCCTCTGCTGCCAAGGGGGGATTTAGCAGACACCTTTTGGGGATGGGCAGTTGTGGGGAGGCTGCCTGCTGTGTTTTCTCACGAGTCCTGGACCCATCTCGGTTGTTACCATGGCAGCATCTCAAGGGTCTGCAGACGGGACTTAAGGGAGAAGGCCCTTTGGCCTGGGGGGCCAGCTCTGGTTCTGCCGCACGCCAGCTGTGGTGCCCGTACGCGGTCGTCACCTAACGCTCACAGGCACCCTGTGAAGCGGGCTCCGTGTTTACGGCTAGATGGGGAAAGGCTGACGTCATCCGCCCACGGCTGCCTAGCCGGCGAGGAGAGGGTCTGGGTGTGAAAACCCAGTGCTAAGCATGGAGCGGTCCCCAGGGATCTCTTCTGAGTATCTGGTCCTGTGGCAATGCCCGGGCCCTGCTGAGCTTGGGTGGGTGTCTGCCTGCTGAGCCCCCTACTTCTCACCCCTGGACAGACCAGATCGCCCTGGTCCTGCCTCTCACCGTGAGGAAGGCTTACATGTGGCGGCACATGCAGCGTGGCGCCCCGGAGGCCATGGGGCTGGCCCAGTTCTGGTGCTAGCAGGACTTCGGTGCAGGGAGCAGCCGAGACACACGTGTCTCTTCACGTCTCTCCCCCACCTCCCCAGGGGGTGAGGGGCTGCTCACTCTGGGATGAGGGACTAGCCTCTCCAAATAGGCAGAGTGTGTCCAAGGTGAGAGGAGGCCATTTCTGGAGGCAGCCTGGCTCTCCTGTGGTGGGCCTGCCAGGAGAGAGGAGAGGAGCGGCCAGGCCAGGCCCGTTCCCCTGGAGCCCGTTGGGTGGCTCAGAGGGGAGGGTGGGGGCGCTGAGCCAGGCAGCCTGGAACAGAAATCCTCTCTGGCCTGGGCCCCACCTGGCCCCCTCCTTGTAGTGAGGGGTGGCCAGCACTGGGGTCAGAGCTTCTGTTCCTCTGGGAAGCCTTCCAGGTGACCCTGACTTAACCCCCAGCGCCATGACTGTTCTGTGTTTAACCCCTTCCTGGCTGCCCGCATCCCCACCCTCCCAACTCCTAATTCTGCTTCCAGGTGTGTGGTATTGTGATGCTCAGTGGCTTCTCCCACTGACTAGGACACCCCTGACTAATGCCAGCAGCAAGGTGAAGGGAGAAGGAGTCCTACGGACGTGACCTTCTCTTCTCTGTGGGCTGACCTCCCAGGCTGGGGTGGCACGAGCCAATCACAGGGCCCATCAGTGGGGACCCTGAGGCGCGGGAGGGGAAGGGACCTGCCAGCGAGCTCAGCTTCCGACTGTACCGGTGACCACACTGAAGTGTGAAAAGACGGGGGACGTCACCTGCAGCTACGAGAGAAGAGGCGGAGCTGATATTTGAGTCGAGGAGTCTGGCTCCACACCCCTTTCCACCTGCCGCAGAGCTCAGCGTATTCAGCACCTCCACACCCCTAAGTCAGGGGGCTCCTCAACTTCTCATGCCCTTAGGTGGCAGGGAGCTGGCTGCCACACAGCATGGCCCAGGTCACTCTGGACAGGCCCAGGAAGTAGAACCAGAAAGAGAGGGAAGAGGGAGAGAGTGTGGTGGACGGAGGCTGGGGTGACCATGGTGCTTGGGGACCGTTCTGCATTTAGGCCAGAAGGAGGTGGGGTGGAGCAAGGGGAAGAATGGATGGAAGTTGACAGCAAGAACTTTATGAGCACAGAAGCTTCCCGGCCTTGGGACAGGTGACTGAGGGGCTGGGGAGCATCTGCCATCGCAGAGACCCCTTGCTTTGGGAGCAGTGCTCTCTGGTGAACCCCACTGCCTGGTGTCTCAGGTTGGGCTGCCACAACCGAGTCACGCTGAGTGAGTGGCTGAAACAATAGACATTTATTTTTTCACAGTCTGGAGGCCGTAAATCTGAGAGCAAGCTGTTGAAAGGCTGGCTCTTCCAGAGGCCTCTCTCCTTGGCTGATAGTCGGCTGTCTTCTCCCTGTCTCTTCACTGGCCGGCCCATGGTGTGTCTGTGCCCTAGTCACCATGTGCACCCTGTGCACAAGGACACCAGCCAGATTGGATGAGGGCCTACCCAAATGACCTCTTTTTAAATGACCTCTTTTAAGGCCTTATCTCCAAATAGAGCCACGTTCCAAGGTACTGGGGGTGAGGATTTCAGCATATGAATTTGGGGGCAGCCTTCAGCCTGTAACACCTAGGAAGGCGTTTTCTGGGTTTCCCACGGTCAGATGCCTGAAGCCTTAGTCCCGAGTGGGGAAGAGAAGGTCCGGGGTGGGTGGAGGGGAGCGTGGTCTGATTCTG